TTAAAATACTCACAGGACATCAAACATTCTTACTGTTTAATGTTTCAAGGTGGCTAAACTTGCTTATTTCAGTTATTTGCCAGTTTCAATGAAACAAAGTTAAAATTCCATATAATTTTGAAAATGTACAGCTTATCCTGACATAAATGGAATTCTTTTTATTCACAATTAACAGTGTCATGCAATACCAGCTTAAAATAGTGTTTCTCTCCAATAATTTATGGGTTTATAGGGGAATGAAAGATACAATGCATTTTACTAAACAGGGGAGATAATTTAGTTTTGTCGAACACTATCACATTCTTTACAGATGATTTCAGAACCATAATGTTACATTCCAAAAGAGCCAGTGGATATTATTTTCATCTAAGCAGGTTCTGGGACTGGTGTATAACCCTTACTTCATGTTTGCAAACTAAAAAACTGCACAGTGAGGCATTAAGGGAGCACTGTCAGAAATGTCTAGTGCATGAGGGTGATCTTATTATGGCACTTGATAGTGAGCAACAGAGGGGCCTCAAGTGGACTGGGGTTCTTAAATGTACTTACTGTACCTACATGTCCAAGTTCCACAATGTCTACAAGGTAATAAAGCGCAGCGAGGCAAAACAAGGGATGTCGATCACACACTGCCAACACCGGACTTCGGATCAGCTTCTCCAAATGCCAAATTCGATGTCGAAACTCCTACTTCTTCTGCATGAGTGCACATATACCTCCCCAGTCAACATCAGGCATGGGAAAAGCTGAAAAAAGTGTTCAGACAATATCAAATGGCAAACCAGTTTGGATATAACAGACAGGAGTCAGTTCTTGAGGGGACAAAATAATTATTTGAAAGTTATATGAGTGAAAAATAAGTCTGTTTTAAGAAACTTAATAGAAAAATAGCATCATTCATTCACACAAGAGCACCTAACAGAAAGACATATTGGTATGCTACATTGTTTACTATAAATAAGGGGATGTTTGACATATTCTGCTGTCAGCAGTGTACATGCTTCATATTCAAGATAACGGCATCGCGTAACTTGACTAGCAAGCGATTGACACAAGGCAGAAATTGTTGTGGCAGTGGTGACTTTATCCTAATTTGTTGTCAAATTCATCAGTTTCAACAAATTCAGAAGGCAGGAGGAGGGTTTGTTGGACAGAGGTACCCTGGGGGGTTCGTGCTGAGTTCGACCACAATACGAAGCAACATTCATTTCCAGCCCATCCAAATGATCCATTCAACCCAAAATGTCCCCAACTTCACTGTCATTATTTTTAAATTTGCCTCCATGGTGTATCCATGGTGAAATATAAACAGAAAAGCATGTAAAGTATGAATTACTGAAATGTGCACTCACCCTACAGGTTACACACAACCAAATGTTTTCCCATAGACTTCTATAGTAACGTTATGATTTTTTTTAAATAACTAAGCATTCAACAGCTATTACCTGTACGTGTGTGCACAGTTTGGCCTTAGAGCAGCAATAAAAAAAATAAAAATGACTAGCTTACCCAGCTCCTTTTCCGAGTACCGGAAGCTAAACACACCACCCCCAGTTTCGCACCAAATGTCACCTACTTGAAAATAGCTGTGGTCACATTCAGCATAAGTCATCATGTTGAAAAAGACAGTACTAAATATAGAAAAACATGGTCAGTTTTAATAACTGGATGGATGTACATTTGAAAGACATAAAAATCTTACAGAATATCCTCCAATCACAGCCTGCAGATATCTCTCGATCTGCACTGAAGGCTCCCTACGAAAACCGCACTCTCCAAACTGGTACTGATTTGGTGTAGTAGAACCTTGAGTCCAGTTCGAACACTTATCTTTACGAGTTGTTTTGATATTGAGCAATATATTTTTTAATATATATATATTTTTTTTATTTTTTTTGGGGGGGGGGAATCGTTGTTGTTTAAGGACACACTCAGCAATGTTCAAGCTATATGACAGTGTTATGTAAATAATCGAGCCTGGAGCAGACTATCCACTGATTGACAACATGATCATCGATCTACGCAATTGGCATACGATGACATGCATCAACCAAGTCAGCGCGCCTGATCGCCAATCCCGTTTCGCCTTTTTACAGCAAGCATGGGTTGCTGAAGACCTATTCTCACCCGGATCATCACGGGTGCAATTAGATTTGCCTCACTTGTCTTTCATTATAAAAATGAATATCCTATATTTCCATCGTGTATCTAGGCAATTTAAACGTTTTAAAAAAGTCAACAATATCAAAGGTGTTAACATGCACAAGGAGGGACAACGAATATATTTGTCGATTTGAAAGCACAACACAATAGGTTGAATTTCCGGGTAGAACTGTGCTGGTTTCGTTCTACTGCGAGTTTGATTTAATCATTTGTTGAAAAAACACAACACACAGTTCATCCGGTACAAATGCACAATAGTGTCATTAATCATCAACCCAACAACACCATACATTTAAATGTCCCGGGTTAGAATGTATCGGACCCACGCTATAGTTTCAATAACCCCTTAATATTTCACCTGGTAAAACAGTGGACTCGTAAATCCTAACCCGCTCAGTCAGAAACATATATGTTTAGTCACAAGAATGCTTCTGTTAATAACGAGTGATGTCACTAGAACTGTTCCTGTCCGAGTTGCATTGTTACTGAAGGTTGGCGTCACCGAGCACGGCGGGTGTAAAACAATAGGGCAATGGAAAGCCCGTATGTCAACGTGGCGAGACTTAACAGATAAACTCTGCTTGACCTTCCGCCTTGTGTACAATAGATACAGGCAGTGAAACAGCAGGTCCCCTTGAGCTGTCCTGACAAGTGGAATGTTGACAACGTGTGTACAATAGATACAGGCAGTGAAACAGCCGGTCACCTTGAGCTGTCCTGACAAGTGGAATGTTGACAACGTGTGTACAATAGATACAGGCAGTGAAACAGCAGGTCACCTTGAGCTGTTCCGACAAGCGGAATGTTGACAACGAAGCTGCATACGGGGATGGCCCGCAACACGTGGTACTTGCGTTATTGTCGTGGTAAATGCATACAACAGCTACTGCTACGGACATACCCTAATAACACACGCGCATACTATTCCCTGTCCCATAGAGTGAGTGTGTGAGTATGGTTTTACGCCGCTTTTAGCATTATTCCAGCAATATCACGTCGGGGGACACAAAACATGGGCTTCACACATTGTATCCATGTCGGAAATCGAACCCGGGTCTTCGGCGTGACGAACGAACGCTTTAACCACTAGGCTTCTCAACCTCGGCTCCATAGTTACGGTGATAAGATAAAATAGATGCCCAGTTTCTTGTCATGCCTCGTGTACATCAGAACACCTTTAAATATCCACTCACATGTTTGAAAACGGAATTATTGGTTGTTTTGAGGGTCGTATATTGTAAGTGGCGTGTTCGGCACACTCATTGTTACTGAGGCAGAGGTCGAATTGAATAAAAGCGATACGGAAATAATTGCAAAACTGGTTGTAAATAACGCCCACTTAATGTGCTGTATGAGTAGCCCTTCAGCATACCGCTTGTGATAAACATGTTTACGTGCTAGGTTGTATCAAGGTCGCCATGAATAAAACTTTGTCCTTCCCTATCAGAGCGGAAAACCCAGCCACCCTGTACTTGGTGGGGCACACTGACACGGTGACTTGAATCATTCATGTAACTTTGCACAGAATATTCCATGATGTGTATTTGTCGACTGAGGAATCTGGAGCTACAGTCAACCGTTTCTGCTCAGGTACAGCTAACTGCGGCGACTTGTGTAAGGTCGTTATTTGTTAACCATCACAATGCGTCACCTGTAACATGTATTTGTATGATGCGTTATTTGTTTATTGACAACTAAAGAAGCTTTTACCATTCTTAAACATACACATCTCCAGAAACCATTCAAAACTTGACTTGTCCTTGTATCCGAACCGAGGAATCTAAACTTCATTGCGTATCTGGCGTTTATTGATATCTTAGATCCCATCGATCGATTATCATGTGTTGCATCAATGTAGAGGAAGTGATATTGCCGACATCCCTGTATAATATGCCACCCAGTGTACGTACGAAGCTAGCAAACAGCTGCGTTTGCGCAAATTAAGCAGTAATTGGGTTTGGATTGAAAGTATAATCACAGGATTTGTTGTTTGGTTGGTTGTTTAACGCCGCCCTCAGCAATATTCCAGCTATACAACGGCGGTCAGGTCTTGACCAGACAATCCAGTGATTGATATCATGAACATCGATCCGCGCAATTGAGATTGATGACATGCATCAACCAAGTCGAAGAGCCTGACCACCCGGTCCCGTTAGTAGCCTCTTACGACAAGCATAGTCTCCTTTTACGGCAAGCATGTGATGCTGAAGACCTATTCTACCCTGGATCTTCACGGGTCACGAATGGTATGTACAGTGTAAGGGTATAGTCTAGGACAACGAACTTCTATCGCACGATAAGGCTGTATGGAAGCCTTTCTGTACAAGATCAACAATATACGCCCAACGAACACGTCCAGGAAAACCCAAGGTTCGATCGCAAACTCTGCCTAATATTGATTCATGAAACATCATAACCTATTCACTGAACTACAGTCACAGCATCCCTGGTGATTCCGGGTAGGAATATAGCAACCTTTTCGCAAAAGGCGATTAACGGAATCGGGTAGTTAGGTTCGCTGACTTTGTTGATTTTAATATTCCGTAGATGATCATGATTTCAGTCTCTGAGATGTCTGGTCCAGACTCGATTATTTACAGGCCGCCGTCATACACCTGGAATGTTGTTTAGTGTGGCGGTAAATAACACACAAACAGAACTGTCACAGCCGACCTTTCATACCTCGACATTCGCTCTCAGCTATCAACGAACATCTAAATGCACTTGTTATGTGTGGTATGTGAAGTGACATTAACGCAACTCTGGTGCAGGGAAAAATGACATGACTCTGTATATCTGTCAGGCTTCAATCACTGTGTGCTGCAAGGTCGCTCGCTGACATGTTACTTGTGATCAAGCCGGGCGTGTCATGTCATTTCTCGGAAGTATGTACAATGCCCTAAAGGGGCGCCAGGTAGTTGACATTTTCCCCTAATAAAAGAAAACAGAAAAACACAAACAAATCATTCATGTTTATATAGTCATGTTTATATATATTAACTTGTTCACGCTATTGGTCAACTAGTTCTGATAAATAGACACATTATTCCCTAATTGACACATACTGCTTCCCCTACACATAGTACGAGCGTAGACTCACTCCCGATGAGTGAGGCTTGACAAGCCTGACTGGCCTGGTTGGGATTGATTGATCTTTAAAACTGCCATACAGACATGGCTGTGTGTTTTGTGTACATGTAAGAAGTTTGAAACGTGGTGGATCGTGGGATGACAAGAGTGGGGTACCAGCGTGGACGACGGATTGAGCTGGTGTTTTGCGGGTACAACATGTGGAGGTTAATACAGTTTGTGAGGGTAGGGAGAAGAGGGTTAGTAGGTAGCCGCGTAATCAGGGTATGAATACGCTGAAACAGGAGAGGACGTCCGCAATTAATAGAGATGCGTCAAATGCATTCAGACACAGTTGAAAGTGTTCTACGTGAATGTCCACGATGTCTTTCTTGACAGTTGATATGACGGAGTGTGTTTCATGCACCAGTTCATTCTGGTCCAAATATCTGTGATAACCAGACTGTGTGATATGTTCAACTTCCAAAGTGACAACCCATGTAAAATCTATCCTCTTCCCTGTTAACTTACAACATGTTTTGTACTCTCCTTTGGAGGAATAAAAGCATATGGAGTAAATTACGGTTATAATTCACTAATTTTAATTCGTTATAACCGTAATTCGTTTTAGGCAAATGTACGGAATAGTTACAGCAAATAGACAGGCCCAAAAATAGTTCGTTATATCCGTCAGTTCGTTATAACCGTGATCGTTATAACCGTAGTGTACTATATGTGTCACCTGAAGGAATAGTTAGTAAGTGAGTTCGGGTTAAACGCCACTTTTAACAGTGTTCCAGTTATATTGCGGCGTGTCAGCTTAATGTGGGAGGAAAGCCCGGTGAAACCAACGAGCATGGGTATGGTGCTGACAAACCTAGAAACATAATCTGGGCGACACGGGATTCGAACCCACAATCATAGGTTTCTTGCGTGCCCAAGGGACGCAACTCTACACAGCGAATCTCGGCGCCTTAGTCGACAGGGCCACCCGTGGCCCCCTATGGAAGAATAATAGCATACACATGTCACCTGAAGGACAACGACTTAAAGTGAACAGCACGGCTTAATCCTGTGGGCTGCATAGAATAGATATCTCCTCAAAAACGCACTACAGTTGACAAGTAGTCACGTCTCAATGTTGTTATATCCTCTATCTTTACAACACACCTTAATAAATAAAAAAACGAAGCGGAGCATGATTGTGTAACGAAATCATTACATATTCTCTGTTCCACGTGATCTGGTTAAGAGCATAACTGAACATGATGGGACATATCTCGCGACACCAGGACTCATAAATATTGAGGAAAGACCTGGGACATCACGGTGAAGATTAAAGGATATATTTCAGGATCACAGTAGTAAGTAAAATCTGCATTTAGTATAATGTACCACACAAGCGATATTTCATCTCAATTCACCTTCTGAAACAGATATGGGAAGTACAAACACCGGAATGCACTGATTAATATTTACATTCCGAGACGTTGGAAGGACAAATATAGCCTCATAGGTTATGTTATTTGTTTACAATAATGTTATGTTATTCACAGATACCCGACACTCAACGTAATATCCATATTTCACATGTGGTTCTTGGGTATCAGTATTATCGATCGTCATGTCCAACACAAGACATGTTTGTGTACTGCATTTCACTTCCGTCTTAAAGGTGTGTTGTACATTCGGTTTGGTGCACATTAGCCTTTGACTTGTATCTTGGTTTTATTTGTCTATGACTCCGTGGTATAAAGCCTATGACATAAACCACAGACAGAAACCGACACCCAACCTTACTATAAATAATTCACATAAGGAATTTATACCTGTCACAGTTCGAAGTTCAGGTCACGCTGCCCTTGGTCGTCGCTGTAGTTGTGTACTGCGTTCCAGGTCCACGTTCAGTGTGTATTGCGCATTCGGGTGGCGCAGTTCAGTCTCGAACGTGCATTTGGACCTGGAAATTATATTTCGACATATATTATATGACATTATGTGATCACTAGGAACAGATGTTGTTGTCTTACAGACAAACATATGTCTTCTTGACAAAAACAAATACACAACTCGCATACCAGACTTCTTACTACTACTTAGTTGATGCTTGAGTACAAGGGGGCACGGGTGGCCCAGTCGTCTAAGGCGCCGCGATTCGCTGTGCAGAGTTGCGTCCCATGGGTACGCCAGGTACATTTACATATAAAGTCGTCATACCCCTTATTATACTGTGGCACGGGTGGCCCTGTCGTCAAAGGCGCCTCAATTCGCTGTGTGGGGTTGCCTCCCTTGGGAACACCAGGAACCTATTATTGTGGATACCAAATCCCGATTTGCAACGTGGATGTTTCTAGGTTTCCCAGCACCAAACGTGTGCTCGTTGGCTTTATCGCAGTGATCTAACTGGAATGCCCTTCGAAGCTGCGTTAAACCCACCAACCTTATTCATTACATCGCATATGCACATTCATATATGCATATGAGTCATTCGTGACCGTTGATCTTCCTCCATATCTCCCACGCATGAGTTTAGTTTTGTTATACAGTAAGCGACGTGCACCGAATCCAACTCCTAGCATTAGCTGGTGTCGATGACATGTTTCTAAACCCAGTCAACCGGGATATGTATGCCTTAGCATATAGCAAAAACAACAACCAGAAGTAAACAAAGGCACACATCGGGGATATTGGTCCTTACAACAGATTTCCCTGAAATATATTATCAACACTGACTGACTGACTGAGTATGGTTTTACACAGCTTTTAGCAATATTCCAGCAATATCACGGCGGGGAACACCAGAAATGGGCTTCACACATTGTACCCGTGTCAGGGAATCGATCCCGGGTCTTCGGCGCGACGACCGAAAGCTTTAACCACAAGGCTACCCGACCGCCCCAATATTATCAACAAATACACATATATACATATATACATATATAATTAATAACGGGATCGGGTGGTCGCATCTGTTCCCGGTGCTCCCCCAGTTCCACGAAACACACAAACACACACAAACACACACACACACACACACACACACACACACACACACACACACACACACACATATATATATATATATATAATCTTTGGTGCGTATGCTACATTTTCTCATGCATACATTACCTTTTATCGTTTCTGCACCTGACACCCGTGAAGATCCGGGGTAGAACAGGTCTTCAGCAACCCATGCTTGCCGTAAAACGCGACTATGCTTGTTGTAACAGGTGACTAATGGGATTGAGTAGTCAGGCTCGTCGATTGGGTACATGTCATCGATCCCAATTGCTCGGATCGATGCTCACTGTCTGGTCCAGACTCGATTACCCACAGACCGCCGTCATATAGCTGTGGACGAAAAGGTAGACACACAATATTTCTTTAGTGTAAAGTCGATACGGTTAACATTATAAACCAACTTTCTTCCCTCGCTCTTGTTATTAATAAAGCAGTTACTAAGCGCGATGACATATGATCCTGGCATGCTACGTTCTCGTCTTTTCAAATTGTGTTGCTCAGACCTTTAACCATTCAGACATCTACCAGAAGTGAAACTCTCGGTGTAAGCACGCCGGATGTACTAAATAATTACTACCTAAACAAAACGACACTGTTAAGAGACCGCCTCCGTGGTCTAGCGGTAAAGCGTCCGCCCGGGGAGAGGAAGATTCGATCCCCGGCCGCGTCATACCAAAATACGTTAAAAGATGGTACTTATAGTAACCCTGTCTGGCGCTCGGCATTAAGGGGCTAAAACAAGGACTGGTCGGCTCGAAGTCAATATACTGTGTCTGAGTGGGATATTTATGTTAAACTGCGGCATGGTATCTCAGTGGGCTAGCACTATAAATCGGCTTCAGTCCGGACTACTATAAACCGCCACACAAACACACACACGTACATGCACGTCGCTATATAAGTGCAATAATCTTGGACGCGACGTTAAACCCCATTTCACCTCATCTCACCTCACTGTTAAGAAGAAAGGGAAATCACCGTCCCAATAGGTCTGAATATATTCAGTCTAAAAGTACATCTGAACGGATAATTCGAACCACGGGCATATGTTGCGAACAAGTTTTCAACGAAACCTAAAGCTGAGGCAGTTATTCTGGGACCGACAGTGAGGCGACTGTGACGTGCACGCCAGAGTTTACATTATGTGGGGCACACAGCAACATGTCCCACGGCCCCACTGCACAGAGCTGAGAGGTGAATGAATGGCAAGGACACCATGGCGGCAGCGTAGGCGATGGTATCAACATCGTTGAGGTACGTAAATCTCCAAACGATTTAAGTTGCCGGCCATTTCGATATAAATCAGCTGATGTAACACTTACTGAAACATTCATATAGACCGAGCCGAGTATATTATTGTATTTTGTCGGTGCATGGTAAAGGTGAAATGCAGACGGAAACCCGACACCAAAGTGGACTGTTATCGGTATGGTCGGCCTTCATGTCACGTTGACCTCCGACATCGGTACACCAAGCAATTAAATAAACACACTATGTTTTGCGAGCATATCTGTCCAGCAACTAGTTGTCATTCGCGTCAAGCCTGAGTTGTGGTAGATAATTAAATGTCTTGTGTAGGATGGAACTATTGACTTATGGACACACAGGGAATGATACAAATGTTTAATATGTTAATTTATTAACACGCTAGTGAGGGGCATCAGCTCGCTTAATAGAGGTTCCACTGTACACGACAACCCACACAACAACACAAGATCTGAATGTATCGACAGTCAGTTTATCAGATAGCCACATAGATTTGATAAGGGTGGATAATAAACAGCTTAAGATACAGATAAATATATCAACGTCTTACATTTGTTTGCTTAACTGTTTAGTTACATAGTTGAGATAGTCCTGTAATTGAGCAAAAAAAAATAACCACGAAAAATATGGACCTGCAAGTTCCATGATCAGGAATGAACGACCATTTCTATCCAAAACCTTACAAAACCTTAATATCTTACAATGATAACCCCAACCCTGAACACCAGTAGTGAGTGAGTGAGTATTCCAGTTATATCACGGCGTGTCAGCTTAATGTTGATGGAAAGCCCCAAGTGAAACCCACGAGCACGGGTATGGTTTTGACAAACCTAGAAACATAATCGGGGCCAACCGGGATTCGAGTCCACAATCGTAGGTTTCTAGCATGCCCAAGGGAAGCAACTCTGCGCAGGGAATCGCGGCGCTTTAGACGACTGGGCCACCCGAACCCCCACAAACCAGAGATGTATACATGTACCGACTATGCTATATTGCTATCTGGGGCAAGTGGTTTCAAAGAACACACTCAGTCATGTCACCTGACGTGACATTATAAGTAGACTGTCGTACACGGTTGTATCGTTGGCCAGACCAAGTCATTCCTCAGGAAGAAGTAGAATCGTCCAGAGGGGTGAAAGGTTGTGAAAAAGAGCGACAATTTTGAATCCTACTGATGTGTTTATCAATATCCATTACATCTATCATTAGCGTGGATATCCATACTGATATATGTGACAGTAACTGATATTGTTCCCTGATTGAAGCTAGCCGGGCCCCCTACATACAGTAGGTTACGCTCACGCTGTATTCTCGGGAAAAGCGCCTGACCTGGAAAGACTGAGATATCTGTGTTGATATTCTGTGGAAGGATAACTCGGTAACTCAAGACACAGTGGGGAATCCCCTTGACAAGGCTGCAGTAAAATAAGAGTGGGACAAACACACGGCAGCGTGGACAGCACTGTGCGGGGTGAAGGTAGAGATGTGGGGGGTGCGGGGTTGAGTTAGGTGAGTGCCGTTTGAGGACGTATGGAAAGGTGGAAGTGCAGGGTGAGGCAGTCAGGTGCGGGGTTAAGGTGGGGGTGCGGGGTTGAAGTTGGGAGGCGCCGTTTAAGGGAGTATGTAAATGTGAAAGTGCAAGGTTGAGGTAGGGGGTGCGGGGTTGAGGTTGGGGGTGCGGGGTTGAGGTCGGGGTTCGGGGTTGAGGTGGGGAGGTGCGGGGTTGAGGTAGGGGGTGCGGGGTTGAGGTGGCGAGGTGCGTGGTTGAGGTGGGGAGGTCCGGGGTTGAGGTGGGGAGGTGCGGGGTTGAGGTGGGGGTGCGGGTTTGAGGTAGGGGGTGCGGAGTTGAGGTGGGGAGGTGCGGGGTTGAGGTAGGGGTTGCGGGGTTGAGGTGGCGAGGTGCGTGGTTGAGGTGGGGAGGTCCGGGGTTGAGGTGGGGAGGTGCGGGGTTGAGGTGGGGGTGCGGGTTTGAGGTAGGGGGTGCGGAGTTGAGGTGGGGAGGTGAGGGTTTTTTTAAGGTAGGGAGTTGCGGGGTTGAGGTAGGGGGTGCGGAGTTGAGGTAGGGGGTGCGGGGTTGAGGTGGGGGATGCGGGGTTGAGGTAGGGAGGTGCGGGGTTGATGGAGGGGGGTGCGGGGTTAAGGTAGGGAGGTTCGGGGTTGAGCTAGGGGGTGCGGGTTTGAGGTGGGGGTGCGGGGTTGAAGTTGGGAGGTGCCGTTTGAGGGAGTATGTAAATGTGGAAGTGCAAGGGTTTGAGGTAGGGGTGCGGAGTTGAGGTAGGGGGTGCGGGGTTGAGGTGGGGGGTGCGGGGTTGAGGTAGGGAGGTGCGGGGTTGAGGGAGGGGGGTGCGGGGTTAAGGTAGGGAGGTTCGGGGTTGAGGTAGGGGGTGCGGGATTGAGGTGGGGGATGCGGGGTTGAGGTAGGGAGGTTCGGGGTTGAGGTAGGGGGTGCGGGTTTGAGGTAGGGGGTGCGGGGTTGAGGTAGGGAGGTGCGAGGTTGAGGGAGGGGGTGCTGGGTTGAGGTTGGGAGGTGCGAATATCATAGCACATTCGTAGATGCGCATGGTGTCAATCACCGGATTGTCTCAGACGGATTCAGAATCGACTCTTTACAGATTGCCGCATATTGCTCGAATATAGCCGCGTGTGTGTTAACACCAAACACACAAAGAATATAAACGTGTTTGTGCGTTCAGGTATTCACATACACACATTTGAGGTTGTACAAAGAAACCTTTAGATCATTGAATACAAGCTTGCATAACTTAATGCATTGAGCACCGAAAGGTTAGTCTTGTCACGCATACGGGTTACACTGACGCGATAGGCAGGTTAAAATAGGTTGTACTTAAAATAGCAGAGTGTCTGACCTGGATCCGGCATGTAGCCGTGGAAGAAGCACTACGTTCGTTGTTGTATCGGTAAGTAAACTACACATCGTATCATACATGGCACGAACATGTACAGGTGCCTGCTTGAACATATAGATGCAGTGTCAATGTGAGAGCATTCAACTTGATGTTCCCAGCGAGAGTGGAGGCTTCGTATAGGACGGCAACTCGTTGTTGATGTGTTGTGGATTACAGCGTTGTTATACCTGCAGGGGAACGATATCCAGGTCGACGTGCCCTGTGACTAACTGTGTGTTACTCTCCCTATTGCTCACAGTCATACTGGCACAACGCGAGACACCTCACTCGTCTGAAGATTCACCACAACGCTGTGCAGAGTTGCGCCCCTTTGGCACGCCAGAAACCTATGGTTGAGGGTTCGAATCACGTTTCTAGTTTTGTGAGCACCATACCCGTGCGCATGGGTTTCGCCGAGGTGAATCTTGGGAGACACCTTCACTTCTGTAGCCTGAGCCATGTATATGTCATGTATATACTATTACGTTTTGATTCGGGGCATGGGTGGCCCAGTGGTATAAGGTGCCGCGATTCGCTATGCAGAGTTGCGTCCCTTGGGCACGCCAGAAACCAATGATTGTGGGTTCGAATCCCGGTGCGCCCAGATTATGTTTTTAGGTTTGTCAGCCCCATACCCGTGCTCGTGGGTTTCACCGAAGTGGTAAACGTCTGAGACCTGCATCACTTCGGGCTTGCCTCCCACATTAAGCTGACACGCCGTGATATAACTGTAATACTGTTAAAAGCGGCGTTAAACCCAACTCACTCACTCACGTTTTGATTCGACGCGTGAGTCCTTGATAAGATAAATCTTCAGCAGCCCCAAAAATTGAACTGCTTGCCGTTAGAGGCGACTAATGGGATCATGTGATCAGGCTCGCAGACTTTGAATGCGAACGCGTAGATCGATGCTCATGATGTCAATCACTGGGTTGTCTGTCCAGACTCGATTATTTGCATTTACACAATCATATGTTGCTGAGTCAGGTTTTAAGGACTAAAGTATTAAGACAGCTTTGATCGTATTATTGTTCGGTAGACGGTTAAACAGGCTGGGGTGGGACGACTTATCGACGCTCAACTAAGAGAGGAAAGGCCGTGTGGACCTGGATGCACCATGCGTTATCGATGGCTAGGTAGTTTAAGGTTCACGTAATTGCGTGTGATAAGGGAATACGGCTGCGTTTGACTGGTGTTGTGATAAATGAGCTATAATGTGCCAAGCGACTTGGAAATGTAAGGATGTCATTTGTTCAGGATAGTTTGTGAAAATTATTAAAAGTATCAAGAAATACATGCACTGTAATAATATTAAGGCTACCAAAATGTGGACTGACACAGTCTAAACAGTCGCATCTACACATGCTAGCATCAATGATTCTAACTAGTCAGTGCTAGTATACAACTGACCTGATTGAAATACACAGATGTCATCAAACCTAGACACTGTCAGGTATAAAGTACCACGACACCGGTCTACAAAGATTAACCGACAGCTTCTGCAATGCTCAGCTGGACGCACTCGTATGCACTGAAGTTAAGGATTCTACAAGAGTTATATTGTGTTAGGATTAATTATCTCACAATCTAAGACAACCTGTGGGTAGTCTTTCACACAAAGCAGCTCGCCAAATGTGTGTGTGTGTGTGTGTGTGTGTGTGTGTGTGTGTGTGTGTGTGTGTGTGTGTGTGTGTGTGTGTGTGTGTGTGTGTGTGTGTGTGTGTGTGTGTGTGTGTGTGTGTGTGTGTGATATCGTATTCGACGTAATAAGGCCCCCGCTGTAATAAGCGCCTACGGCGATATTTTCTAATATATTGGCTAGCGAACAATCCCAATTAACACCCCTTCCGATTGATCAATTTACACAGGACTTATTTATTCCTGTATAATACGTATGTTATATGCATTCATAATGATGGGAAATTAAATTCTGGAAAAAATATATCTGTCGTATATAAACATTTCAGGCTGTCAGCATAAACCACGGAATTTACGATCTTTTAACTCTGTTGTTTTTCACAAAAATAATATTCTAATCAGAGCCACCTATTTCTAACTTTGAGATCGCCCTGGGCGCTTATTGTCTCAAATACGGTATACAATTGAACATGGGAGGTTTATATCGCAAATGTTATTTTCACTGATCCATGTACATGGCAAGGGGCTGTGGAAAAAAACCAAAACAACATGTAATCTCTGTGAGAGTAGTATTGCAATGATATTGCCGAAGAAGTGAGATGCATGACCTTTAACACATTACTTCATGTATCTATTTTTCATAATTTCTGCATTTGACTTGATGACCACCTAGTAAACCCATTTCTGTCATCCGTGTCAAATGACATGGAGCAAACATTTGGTAAACGTAAAGCACAAGATGTGTTTCAAACAAAAACGTATGAAACAGCACAAATGCTCACAACTAAAAGCAGCTTGATGTATACTGGTGTTTGTATCACAAAACCATATATTTCCTTTGCAGAGGCTCCAACTCCTGGTCCAGCAGAGCCATGCAGCTACTCTACCCCATTCTGATGACAGTCAGTGAGTATTGAGAACACAGTCAGTGAGTATTGAGAACACAGTCAGTGAGTATTGAGAACACAGGCTTTTTCGGCTGTCACAACTTTGAACATATCTCCCAACTGAAAACATTCTTGTCACACTGAAGAGTACATTACTTGAAATTCTACTGTTCTTTGTTATTATCCTGTACCAACACATTGATAAATTGAGAAGAAATAGCAGATAAAATATGATAACATCATATTGTCCAGTTTCCTTCCTTTCGTTATCCTCATTTTAATGCTTGCGTATTTTTCAATCTTTCAGTATTGGAAACACAGGGCCAGAACAACTGTGAATGGGGGAAGTATGGCGAAAACTGCAGCAAAGATTGCCCTTCGACTTGTATCCCTGACCCAGCACGAAACCTCACACACTGCCACAAGGAGACAGGGAAGTGCTCGGAGGGATGTGTGCCTGGGTGGTTTGAGGATCTCTGTGATCACGCTTGTACCAAAAACTGCTTTAGAAACACCTGCAATCGCCAAAATGGCATCTGCACGTTTGGATGTAGTGGAAACTACACAGGAGACTATTGCAACATTATTCCAGGTTTGAAAACAAATTGATTAAAATATGTGATAGTTGTTGCTCACCTGCAGTAACAACAGTCTGCTGTGGGATATAGTTATCACACATAAAACGGTTTAATGATATTGTCTTGCTACCAAATCAGGCAATTTTATACTCTACTTGTGGAGGCACCATTCAATACTGACATTGCTGTGAACATTCATGACATCAGAATAGAGGTTTTACATTGATAGTCTGTTTATGATGTGATTCTGACTGACTGTGGGTGGTTCACCAAATGAAAACTGACTTTTAGACTGTTTTATGCTGCCAAGGGTGGTAACTCGGCGTGATTCAACTAGCTCTGAATCAATTATTCATCGTTTGGTCTTTCTGAAGGTATGGTAGTTATATTTCGGTTTTAAGGATGTTTCTTAACTTTTTAGTTGAGTATATATGCAAACCTACTGATTGGTTAGCTGTTAAACCCATAAGATTTGGGAAAAAAAATGATCTTCAGCAACCTGTGTTTTTCAAGACAACAAACCGCTTGCAAACTTGGTTGATGCATGTCATCGTAACCCAAGTGCGTGGATCAACGTCAAACACTGGCGCGTCTGGTTATTCACAGAACACCGTAATGTAGCTGGAATATTGCTGACTGTGGCTAAAGTTTGGATTGAATCTCAAGAATAAACAAAAGATAAACAAATGGAGTGTGGGTTTTAGCCTTACTCGTGTACGGGTTTTCTTGTACATTTGCCACTGGTGGGGCAGGATACGCTCACCTTTTTCCGACCACTTGGCTTCATCACTATTTGATAGTAATTCATAAACACATGCCCATGATATAGTCGGAATCGTACAACCGACTCTGCTTTCAGCAGATTATTTCTACTGAATATGGGTCTTCTCGTTTCCATTTCAATCTATCAAATATAACATGGCGGTACACTTATATACACTGTTATGCAATGTTTTATTGTATTTTATCTGTGTCTGTAGTTGGATATAAATATGAAGCGATATAAGATACAATTATATTCATGTATTGATTTTCTAAAACAATCAAACTCGATCATGAGTGTATGAAGCTGGACTAGTCATCTTTACAGTCGTAATGTTTGGAATATCTCTGTACATGACTAGCGACGTTGTCTGTATTTATGTCTGTACAGGGACGACGGCGACACCTCCAAGGGAATCCAGCACATGTAAGTACAACTACAACCTAAGACTCATATCTGTTAAGAAAATGTGCAAATCATAATTGCTTTATATTACGTGACGGTATTTTGTCACAGACACATCGCCGACAACACCGAGTGAATCCAACAGAGAGCAAAAACCGGGCCTGGCTGCGATACTTGTCCCTGTGTTCCTCATCCTGGTTGTTGTCCTCGCTGTGGTGGTGTTCATACTGTAAGTGTTTACCTAACCCTTGCTGTGGTGGTGATCATACTGTAAGTGTGTACCTAACCCTCGCTGTGGTGGTGATCATACAGTAAGTGTGTACCTAACCCTCGCTGTGGTAGTGATCATACAGTAAGTGTGTACCTAACCCTCGCTGTGGTAGTGATCATACAGTAAGTGTGTACCTAACCCTCGCTGTGGTAGTGATCATACTGTAAGTGTATACCTAACCAAAGGAGATTGAGTCCAGATTATTGCTATATGCAAGTATTACAAATTAAAACAGTATTGTGAACTGACTGGTGATGTCTGAATCTATATAACATCGCCTCCGTGGGCTGGTGGTGGAGCGTCCCCCCGGATAGCGGGAGGAACCGGCTTTGATCCCCGGCCGCGTCACACCAAAAGACGTTATGGTAATTGTTGTTACCCTGCCAGGCGATTGGCATTAAGGGAATAAAACTAGGACTTGTCTGCTCGGAGTGTGTCTGAGTATACATGTTAAACTGTGGCATGGTGTCTTATTGGTCTAGCACTATCAGTCCGTATTAGGACACACAGCCACACACACTCACACACGTGCATGCACGTCGCTATAAAAATGCAATCATCTTGAACGTGACCTTAAGCCCCATTTCACCTCACCTCACTCGATAACGTATTGTTTGCATTGAAAGTTGTTAATATTTTACGGGGATGACAACATTTATATTTTACAGTTCACACATTTCTCAATAAGCAACAATGTTTTTCAGATTTATTTACAAACGAAAACGGAAAAGGGGAGAAAGCACAGGGATTATCGATGCAATGACCGGGATACTTCCATGCTGGAGAACAACTGATACAGCTGGTACAGATGCAAGGTAATACAGACATATAACACGATGCAGTGACAGGGATACTTCCATGCTGGAGAACAACTGCCAGGTAATACAGACATATAACACGATGCAGTGACAGGGATACTTCCATGCTGGAGAACAACTGCCAGGTAATACAGACATATAACAAGATGCAGTGACAGAGATACTTCCATGCTGGAGAACAACTGATACAGCTGGTACAGATGCCAGGTAATACAGACATATAACACGATGCAGTGACAGGGATACTTCCATGCTGGAGAACAACTGATACAGCTGGTACAGCTGCCAGGTAATACAGACATATAACACGATGCAGTGACAGGGGTACTTCCATGCTGGAGAACAGCTGCCAGGTAATACAGACATATAACACGATGAAGTGACAGGGGTACTTCCATGCTGGAGAACAACAGCCAGGTAATACAGACATATAACACGATGCAGTGGCAGGGGTACTTCCATGCTGGAGAACAACTGCCAGGTAATACAGACATATAACACGATGCAGTGACAGAGATACTTCCATGCTGGAGAACAACTGATACAGCTGGTACAGATGCCAGGTAATACAGACATATAACACGATGCAGTGACAGGGATACTTCCATGCTGGAGAACAACTGATACAGCTGGTACAGATGCCAGGTAATACAGACATATAACACGATGCAGTGACAGGGATACTTCCATGCTGGAGAACAACTGATACAGCTGGTACAGCTGCCAGGTAATACAGACATATAACACGATGCAGTGACAGGGGATACTTCCATGCTGGAGAACAGCTGCCAGGTAATACAGACATATAACACGATGAAGTGACAGGGGTACTTCCATGCTGGAGAACAACTGATACAGCTGGTACAGCTGCCAGGTAATACAGACATATAACACGATGCAGTGACAGGGGTACTTCCATGCTGGAGAACAGCTGCCAGGTAATACAGACATATAACACGATGAAGTGACAGGGGTACTTCCATGCTGGAGAACAACTGATACAGCTTGTACAGATGCCAGGTAATACAGACATATAACACGATGCAGTGGCAGGGATACTTCCATGCTGGAGAACAACAGCCAGGTAATACAGACATATAACACGATACAGTGACAGGGATACTTCCATGCTGGAGAACAACAGCCAGGTAATACAGACTTATAACACGATACAGTGACAGGGATACTTCCATGCTGGAGAACAACAGCCAGGTAATACAGACATATAACACGATGCAGTGACAGGGGTACTTCCATGCTGGAGAACAACAGCCAGGTAATACAGACATATAACACGATACAGTGACAGGGATACTTCCATGCTGGAGAACAACAGCCAGGTAATACAGACATATAACACGATGCAGTGACAGGGATACTTCCATGCTGGAGAACAACAGCCAGGTAATACAGACATATAACACGATGCAGTGACAGGGATACTTCCATGCTGGAGAACAACAGCCAGGTAATACAGACATATAACACGATGCAGTGACAGGGATACTTCCATGCTGGAGAACAACAGCCAGGTAATACAGACATATAACACGATGCAGTGACAGGGATACTTCCATGCTGGAGAACAACTGATACAGCTGATACAGCTGCCAGGTAATACAGACATATAACACGATGCAGTGACAGGGATACTTCCATGCTGGAGAACAACAGCCAGGTAATACAGACATATAACACGATGCAGTGACAGGGATACTTCCATGCTGGAGAACAACTGCCAGGTAATACAGACATATACACGATGCAGTGACAGGGATAATTCCATGCTGGAGAACAACTGCCAGGTAATACAGACATATAACACGATGCAGTGACAGGGGTACTTCCATGCTGGAGAACAACTTATACAGCTGGTACAGATGCCAGGTAATACAGAAATATAACCCGAGGCAGAAAGTCTTCTTCATCACCATCACTTACGTCTATGTACAGTAAATTATATATCAAAACACAACGAGTACACATGTGAAATGGCAATCCCCTGATTACTAAAACTATCAATTCTGACATGGTGATTCATACATTTGTCATCATCTCGATATTGTATTTCAGGTACAGTGTCGGTGAAGATGGTGAGTATACACTTTGTTACTTTTTAATTCTATTAGAAGTGACAGAATAGTGTTATTGAGTTTGTATCAACGCGGTTTTATTGGACAAGAATCAAAAGTAATTGTTATGGAAGAAACTAAATTTATATAATTATGACTGTTGAATTGATTAATCTTCACTTTAGACAGGGAAAATAAATGTTAAGCATTTCAACATAACGTAAATCTGCTAGCATGGGCATCATTAGTTAGAAACAGCAAATTTGGAATCTTCAGAAACAGAAACTGTTTCATAGTTATGGGCGTACGGCACAAAACACGGAGTTGTTTTGTAGTTTTTAGTATTGCATGCAACTTCTCATTTGGAGAGCTATTGTCCTGTATATTTTATACTGACAGATATGCAGCTATAACAATATGAATCGGTTTATATTTCCCTTCAACAAGGTTAAAACAATTGTTAAGCATGTTTACATTGGTTTCATTACTGGTTGTCCTTTGGTTCTTTGAATACTTGTGATGTTGACATAACATGTTATGTTCTTACATTGATATCGAAATGCAGATTAGAAAATCCAAAGTGGGTTAAACATGCTTCATCTGACCATCATAACTGTTATGTTTCAGAACTTCTCATGGCAGAGGAAGGTGGAGCCAGTGAGTATGGGATACATATAATGGTGTATGTGTTGAAGAATGAATGTTGTCACAGGAAAAGATACGAAGTGAATGTCAATTGTTTTCCGTGTACCGTCTAAACCTCACATTATATCATGGTGGCTATGGTGATTTTAAAATGTTAGCAAAGTGTATTAATAATCAATGTGTTCACTTGTGTGGCAATCATATTAGCCATTGGCCGGAATATGATAAGAACATGTTTTGTAATATGTGACTATGAGTCCAAGACAGTGAACAACAATAATTCATACAGTGCAACAGATAAGCAGCGTATTTACGTAAAAAACGTAAAGAAAATAATAAAATATAAACAAATAAATAATTATAAAAAATAATACATGAAAAGTGATAATAATAAAACAAAATATATGAATAATAAAAAAGTCAAAAACAATTACTTTAAATTCACTTGATTACAGAAACGCATGCATTAAATGGAAAACTCAAATGTATAAAAACAGCAGACGTAAATACCCAATGAAACTTTTTCAGCTTGCAGACTAAGGAATCAATTTCCGAAACACAATTACGAGCTAACTTAATAATTAGAACAGTTATCATGGAATGTACATCTAAAACATTACTTCATTTTTTTCAAATCTTAAAATGTCCACTCTTTTGGGAATACCCAATAGAGTGATGAATAGATAAGTGAAAAAGAAATAATGTTTACCCAATGAAAAATATAATAACCCAATTAATATAGAAACCCTAGAGTAAAAACTCAATTGCTCAAAAAGTTATCTGAAGCTCTGTTGGTATCATACCATAATGTTAGCAAATTAGTTGTGTTTTGGTATATAAGAGCGGGTTAAATAGATAATCTCACCCGAGTGTCTTTTGATATCAAATATATCAACACGAGTTGATAAAAGTGGGAAAACTCCGAGGCACAAGGGTGAAATTTTATTCATCATCCAACATCAGTCTTCCAACTTTTTTCAGTTTGTAGCCAGTAATTAGCAGTGTAGTAAGTGTAAAAAGTACTGTTTACAGCTTCAGTAGCAGAGCCATTAGTGATGTCACATGATTGTGATGTCATGGTAATCAATGACGTCACAATGGTCTGCAAAGCATTGTGATGAATTTTCAGTGCAGCGATATCTACAGTGTAGATATCACCCAAGCGTTAGCTCCTGTGGGAGCCAGTTTGGGATGATAAACAGGCTTCATCTAACCAGATAATAACTTACAGAACATCTCATCACAAAGCAAGTGAGTAACTTATGGTGGTGTAGGTGTTGATGAATGAATGAACAATATGTTAACCCAGTTATCTGGATGGAACATAATTTAGTGTGAAACCAACAAAGAACCAAGAAACAACCAACAAATGAGATACGATGAGCAAATGCATTACATATTATATATGTGTTGATAAATAAATGTTGTTCAATGAATTTATATGAAGTGAATGTCAGTTCTCCACATGTGTCCTCTACTGTGTAGATTGCACATTATGTCACAGTGAAAATGGTGATTTTGTAATGTTAGACAAATGTCTTGTTTATCAATATTTAATATTTATATATTTAATACATTACCCTTTGAGGGGAATATGTGCAGAACATATGTTTTGTAATATATGACCATTAGTCAAATACACTGAACAATAATTGGTAACTTACGATATGTAGATCAATTAATATTATATTCGCTTATAAATTCACATTGCTTTAGGCGATGTTGTAATGTTGCAATGTACATCTTTTCCAAATAAGACTACACCACATCATCGTACAATGAAGTTTGAACTGGTAATCAAATACTACATTGTGTTTTAGTTGTGGAAGCACATTCGTGTAAATTATTTACTTTTATATTCTGACCAGCAACACGGGGAGATGCAAGTTCCATCAGCAGTTTTGTTCTCTTGGAAGATGATGACTTTCCACCTGGTAAGAACAGAATACCGTCATTAGTAATCATCTGGCACGTCCTTCATGAATGCATATGCAGGTGTACGTACCACAAAGGTAACCCGAGGCGTCCGATGAATTAATGACTTTAATTACATTTTACTGTATTTTATATGGGTATATGTTCATATAAGAATCAAAAGAGTTGAACTGGCGATACTGAATATCAATGTGTACAATTGTTTTACATGTTTATCAACTTTTACAGGTTCAATAGAACAGAAGATAAAGGATATCCAAGGGGTGTTTGTTAAAACTGAGAGCTTTAAGAAGGCTAAAGAAAAGTTGGAGACGTTTGGCCATGTGACACTGAGCGGTGCTCCAGGAGCAGGTAAAACAGCCATGGCCCTGATGCTGGGAGCTGAATACAGGAAGCAGGGGTATGAGCTGGTACTGGTTGAGCATGCTTATAAAGTAAAGCTGTCTGAGTATCTAGATAAAGGCAAAGACGTGTGTGTCATATTTGATGACGTATTGAAGACAGTCAGATCATATTTGGACATGTCCCGTCTCAAACACGTTTTGTACGACCTCCATATGCACCTGGAACAGTGTGAGTCCGGATCAGAAAGAAGATACCTGCGTCTGCAGCAAGAACCAGGAGAGGAACAGAGAAAGCCGGAACAACCAAACATGTGTGTTATATTCACTGTAGACACCAACAATCTTCAGCATGCAATGTCGAAGCTAGGAGGTCAACATATTTTCAAAAGTTCATCAGATGTCAAACTGAGTTGTACACAGGAGGAGAAGAAAGAATTGTGGCAGAAGTACAAACATCGCTTTGGGTATAAAGTGGATGTGAAGAATGTTTTTGCATATATGGAAACGACTGTCGGTTTTCCTCTAGAATGCAAACTTTTCTCCAGTTGTTGTGGCTTTCAAATGCACCATGATAGTTTTTTCGAGAAACCTATGTTTTACATCACAAATCAACTTCGTACGATTATTAGCTCATTGGATGACAAGTCAGCTGCTCTCATCCTGATCTTACTGTGTGAAGGTCAGATAGACACCAGTCAACTGGAGACTAAAGCTGACCATCCTGACAGTAAACTGAAGACTAAGGGTGGCAGTCCAAACAGTCAACTGAAGACTAAGGGTGGTAGTCCAAACAGTCAACTCGATACGGAAGGTGTCTGCCCAATCAGTCAACTTGAGACTGAAGCTGTCCGTCCTGACATTCAACTTGAGACTGAAGTTGTCCACCCAATCAGTCAAAATGAGACTGAAGTTGTCCGCACAATCAGTCAACTTGAGACTAAAGCTGACAGTCCTGACAATCAACTTCAGACTGAAGCTGTCCGCCCAATCATTCAACGTGAGACTGAAGGTGTCCGTCCTGTCAGTCAACTGAAGACTAAAGGTGGCAGTCCAGACAGTCAACTGGGAACGAAAGGTGCCTGTATCAGTCAACTTGAAAATGAAGGTGCCCGCCCAAACCTAGAGGCTCACCTCCAGGCAGTTGCAACTCTTGTGAAGACATCAACCAGACAGGGTGTAGTTGAGGCCGTGAGGGGCTTCTGTGGTACATTGTTAACAAAAGGAAACATAACATCATTTTCCCATTCGATAATTTATGATGTCTGTGCTTTGGTCTTATTTAATATTGAACCACACTTTATTCTAACACATTGCAGTATAAATTTCCTCCTTGAGCATGTACAGGATCAGCAAGACCACCGTATTCCTGTCAATGAACACCAGCTCAGGATACCTTTCTCAGAGGCCTACAGTGGAATAATTGCTGACAGAATGGCAGATGCTATTGTCAGTGGTGCTTTCAGTATGTACATCTGGCACCCCATATGGAAACGAAAAGACATATCAGACAAAGTAAATCATATGATCACAGATCCACCTTCTTTGTCTGATGTTACCAGACACAACATTCTCGAGTATGCTTGTTTCACTGGGAACAAGAATATCCTAGAGCGACTTCTTCCTCACTGTGACATCAATAGGCGTTGTTTGAACGGCTGGACACCATTGATGTATGCAGTTGTCTCTGGACAGATGGAATGTTTTGACATCCTTGTGAAAAACAAAGCGGATATGACTTTTTGTGATACCAACAACAACAATTTACTGCATTTGGCTTGTCAACATGGACACATGTCCACCGTAAAACATGTAAAAAATGTACTCAAGGAACACCTTTCTCCTGATTTGTATCTCAAGCGATACATCAATGGTCGGGGAGTAAATGACTGGACACCAGTTATGTGTGCAGTGGCATTTGGGAAGGAGGATATCCTAGACTATCTTACCTATGAAAAGAATTCAATTGGATTAAAAAAAGAATTAAAAAGCGATTTTCAATTATCAGATATTAACACAAACACTGTGCTTCACCTTGCATGTCGGTTTGGGAACAAGTCCACTGTAGAAAGTCTGCTACCCTACACAGATATAAATACACGTGGCAACAATGGGCAGACACCACTTATGTGTGCACTGATTTCAGAGAGGAAAGAAACGTTCGACCTTCTTGTCTCAAAGAAAGCTGACATCACATTGACTGACGATGACAACAACAGCCTCCTTCACTTAGCTTGCCAAGTTGATGACACGTCCCTTGTCGTGCCAATTGTGCCAAAGTTGGACATCAATTGTCGGGGAAAACACGGATGGACACCGTTAATGAAGGCAGCTGTACACGGAAATATGGATGTATTTCAGCTTTTCCTTTACACAGTAAATGTGAACCTCAAGCTGAGGGATGATAACAACAACAATCTCCTCCATCTTGCATGTCATGGCGGAAATGTCTCCATTGTGCAACAATTACTGCCAAAGTTTGACATCAACAGTCGGGGAAACAACGGGAGGACGGCAGTGATGTTTGCAGTTGCCAGTGGAGTGGAGAGTGTCTTCAAGTTGCTTGTGTCACAGGGGGCTGATATAAGACTAAGGGATGACAACAACAATTCTGTATTCCATTTAGCATGTATTGGTGGAAACATTTCCATTGTGAATCATTTATTGACAAGCACTGATATCAACTGTCTTGGAAACCATGGGAGAACACCAATAATGATCACAGCCATGGTTGCAGAACCAGCTCTGTTTCAAGTACTGTTAACAGAGAAGGCTAATATCACGCTGACTGATGATCATAAGAATACTGTCTTACACCATGCCTGTCAGGGTGGGAACTATTCCATTGTGAACTATCTGATACAAAAATTCAACATTGACGCTTCTGGAAAACACGGCTGGACACCTGTCATGTTTGCGGCATATGCGGGAAGGAAGTATGTGTTCGATTTGCTTGTGAAGAAGAATGCTGTCCTCACTTTGACTGATGACTACAATGACAATGTTCTACATTTAGCATGTCAGGGTGGGAGCACAGCTATTGTCGAATGTCTTGTGAAACTCTGTGACGTCAATCGTCGGGGAAAGAAAAACTCGCCACCAGTATTGCATACAGAGAGATCAGTGTCCAGTGGAAATAAAGATCCTTGTGATAGTAATGAACCGACGGAAGATATACAATCATCGACTTCCCCTGAGACTGATAATGCTATCTGTGTTGTCGGTCAAAGTGGAAAAGAAGCCACCGTGATACAAGAGAGTGGCTACTTTTACATTAACGTCAGAGGCAGGGATGATCAGACTCCACTTATGAGGGCAGTGTGTGGAGGACATATTGCTGTGTTCCGGTTCTTGGTGTCCCATGGTGCCGACCAAAATCTGGTGGACAAGGGTGGACACACTCTTCTACATCTTGCTACTCAGCATGGTCAGCTTCATATGGTGAAATACATCATAGACTCGTTTGATATCAACACAAAAGACAATGTTGGTCTGACGCCTGTCATGACATCAGTGTTACATGAGAGAGTTGATGTATTTGAATATCTCAGAAAACAAGGTGCAGACCTGACAGCAGCGAACAATGCAGGGGATGATGTGGCGACTCTTGCGCATAAAATAGGATGCAGCCAAATCATAGAGCAATTATCACCATCCAAACCTATGAAACGATCATCTGGACCGAGGCTTTCGGGTCTTTTTAAATCCAAGAAGAATCGTAGAGCTGAATGAGCTCAAACGTCACTGTTAAAAGAACCCGTGCAATCTGAAAACATGTATGTATGTATGTGTGTGTGTGTGTGTGTGTGTGTGTGTTTGTGTGTTTGTGTGTTTGTGTGTTTATCCTATGCATGCTGTCATACCATTGTATACATTGTACTTTTTTATGATATGGAGGAAATACAGGACATCCATTTATCTTTAGTGTATGCATCTTATATTTTTCAGATAGGTGTTAATGTTTCACTTGTATAGCCTTACTACTGTCACTGTTACTTACACATAACACTGAATCTGTTAAACATATGTTGTATTTTTTTTAGATGAGTTCAAATATAACATGATACAATTGACATAGTTTTTCATGGACATTGTGACACATGTGTTTCTAATCTATCACTCCAAAAGGACACGACTTAGCAATTTCTTATCACCCAGAAGCTCCGGTAAGTATGCAGTACTGCGCACTCCGAATAGGGACAACAAATAATGAATATGATGCGCCTGTTTAACATTAATAAGCAGGTATTACGCTGTGTAAAATACCAAGGTGCGTGCTTATGTCCTACAGGGCCTTGGTATATATAGTTTCACAAATAAAATATGTAAAACACCCTAAACTCCTGGGTTTATTCAATGGTTTTTCGTGTGGAGATGACAGTTCACTCATTGGAGATTATGCGAACTCGACGACTCTAGCACCCCCTTTGCCAAAATTGTGAACAAAATTCGACACATGGTCGCGTGATTTTTCCCTTTTGTGGTGCAGGGCCCCGTTCCACAAAGCGTTCGTAGCCTGTGCATTGGGTTAATACGTATCAACGCATACTTTGGTATTATATGGAAGGCCGTTTAGTATTTAGCTTACTTCTCATCACCTGTTTGAACGACTAATAGTTTCATTTTAACAAATTAGTATCTCGCTCAAACGACTTTTTGATCAGTTTCAACATTCATCTGTACCACGATACGACAACATTCGTGTGTACCCAGATACGACAACATTCGTGTGTACCCAAATACAACAACATTCGTGTGTAACCAGATACAACAACATTCGTGTGTACCCAGATACAACAACATTCGTGTGTACCCAGATACGACAACATTCATGTGTACCCAAATACAACAACATTCATGTGTAACCAGATACGACAACATTCGTGTGTACCCAGATACAACAGTCATGTGTACCAAAATACGACAAAATTCATGTGTACCTACATATGACTACATTCATGTGTACCTAGATAGGACAACATGCATGTGTACCTAGACGCGACAACATTCATGTGAACCTAGACACGATAACATTCATGTGTACCTAGACACGACAACATTCATGTGTACCTAGACACGATAACATTCATGTGTACCTAGACACGATAACATCCATGTGTACCTAGACACGACAACATTCATCTGTACCTAGACACGATAACATTCATGTGTACCTAGACACGATAACATTCATGTGTACCTAGACACGATAACATTCATATGTACCTAGACACGACAACATTCATGTGTACCAAAATACAACAGTCATGTGTACCTAGACACGATAACATTCATGTGTACCTAGACACGACAACATTCATGTGTACCTAGACATGATACGATTCATGTGTACCTAGACACGATTACATTCATGTGTACCTAGACACGATAACATTCATGTCTACCTAGACACGATAACATTCATGTGTACCTAGACACGGTGACATTCATGTGTACCTAGACACGATAACATTCATGTGTACCCAGACACGACAACATCCATGTGTACCTAGACACGACAACATCCATGTGTAACTAGACAGGACAACATCCATGTGTACCTAGACACGATAACATCCATGTGTACCTAGACACGATAACATTCATGTGTACCTAGACACAACAACATCCATGTGTACCTAGACACGACAACATCCATGTGTACCTAGACACGATAACATTCATGTGTACATAGACACGATAACATTCATGTGTGCCTAGATACGACAACATCCATGTGCACCTAGACACGACAACATCCATGTGTACCTAGAAACGATAACATTCATGTGTACCTAGACACGATAACATTTATGTGTACCTAGACAACAACATTCATGTGTACCTAGACACGACAACATTCATGTGTTCCTAGACACAACAACATTCATGTGTACTTAGACACGACAACATCCATGTGTACCTAGACACGACAACATTCATGTGTACCAAAATACAAAAGTCATGTGTACCTAGACACAACAACATTAATGTGTACCTAGACACAACAACACTCATGTGTACTTAGACACGACAACATTCATGTGCACCTACATACGACAACATTCATGTGTACCTAGACACGATAACATTCATGTGTACCTAGACACGACAACATGCATGTGTACCTAGAAACGATGACATTCATGTGTACCTAGATACAACACCATTCATGTGTATCTAGACACGACAACATTCATGTGTACCTAGACACGACAACATTCATGTGTACTTAGACACGACAACATTCATGTGTACCTAGACACAACAACATTCATGTGTACCTAGACACGACAACATTCATGTGTACCTAGACACGACAACATTCATGTGTACCTAGACACAACACCATCCATGTGTACCTAGACACGATAACATTCATGTGTAACTAGACAATGCAACATTCATGTGTACCTAGACACGATAACATCCATGTGTACCTAGACACAATACATCCATGTGTACCTAGACATGACAACATTCATGTGTACCTAGACGCGACAACATTCATGTGTACCTTGACACGACAACAGTCATGTGTACCTAGACATGACAACATTCATGTGTACCTAGACACGACAACATTCATGTGTACCTAGACACGACAACATTCATGTGTACCTAGACACGATAACATTCATGTGTACCTAGACACGATAACATTCAGTGGATCGATGCTCATGATGTCAATCACTGGATTGTCTCGCCCAGAATCGATTATTTACAGACCACCGTCATATAGCTGGAATATTGCTGAGTGCGGCGTTAAAGCACAAACCAAACCAAAACCTTTATAATCATAACTGGTGTTGTCTTAACGTCCTCGATATTTTCACAGAAACATTTGCATTAAAATATATCAATCACACTTCTGAAATAACTGTTTTGTGCAAAGTTATTTCGAAGCAGCTCATTAACTTGAGACTGGATACCTTTATTATTTAATTGAATCACCAATGCATGTTGATATTATATGTGTCAGTATTCATTTTCGTCTTCCTTGTAACAAAAGGGGATGAGAGGGGGTGGGGTAGGGGTCGGGGTCTAGGGGGGATGGTGCGTATTGGGGCAGGGGGAGGCAATACTATCAACAGGAAGCGGAATGTGAGTAGGAAAGAAGACTGCTGGCCGTGTGACAACACATGGATCACAGCCCCCTCTGACATGATACAGATGGTTCATGGTTTACACACAGCTTGTCTGCAAATCATCGGAAAACATCAAGTCCTAACGTAGCGTAAGTATCTGCTGTTGATATTTATATTCATCATATAAATATGTTGAAGTTATTTTGGTTTTAAAATGTGCTGGATTCCATAATGAACTGTGTGCAATCCCTCTTTTTAGCATTATCAGCATTGTGGGGAGTATAGCATGCACGCCTTTCTGACGGCCAAAGTCCACAACTCTTTGATTTCTGAATTCCTATTGGATCCCTCCAGTCGTTGCATCAGACAATTGTTGTTTCATTGTGTTTACTAATGAGTAAAGTTTGTCACTTAAGTCCATAGAGGAAGCAAAAGTAATGCAAGTCCCCGTGGTTTTAGGATGGTGATGTACCTTCAGTTGCTGGCGATCTGCAACCTTTTCTTATCATCTATTGTGATATATAGTGATACATTTGTATATGCTAGTTTTAAATAACAATTAGTGATATGCTTGTTATTTAACTGTCCCATGTTGATAGGCTTTTATAGTTTAAATGCATGTGTTATTTATAACATTGCTAGTTACGATATGGCTGAAATACTGCCTCACATTATAACTTAATATTGTTTCACTTTCATATCTGTTTCAGTCAGTACAATGGTTTCCTTGGTGATGATATGGCTAGCATGCTTGGTAGTTGCCACTGGAGGTAAATCAAAGAGCTCTCGATAAGGAAAAGTTTTATTCCACACTGACAGGACGCAGGCTCATAAAACATGATTTTCGGGAGTAGTTGCAAATATGTCTAACAGATCATATTCTAATGTCACCGCATGCCAAATGCATATTGACAGTTTTTCTTGTAAGAGTACAATTATCAGTGTTTGACATGGTTTATGGTTTATGTTGAGTGGGATGTACATACAAAGGCGGTTCTATATATACTACTCAAAAGAAGTTAAGGATCACCCGATACTTTCATATTGGTAATGTTAATCTGTCATGGCATGAGAGATTAACTATTGTAATATGAAAGAATCAGGTGATCCTTAACTTCCTTTGAGTAGTATATGTAGTTCATACTCGCAGTTGGGACCAACTAACAGAAAATGAAACTCATCTCCTCTCACATTTAAATTACATTGCTTCATATTCTCAATTATCTAGCTATATTTATATGCCTTCCTACTTCAATTTTTAGTCTATGAGTGCTATGTCAAAATTGTGCTGTGCTTTTAAATGTAAATACGCTAAAATACCATTTAGATATTGCATTGATGAAGTGAGTGAGTGAGTGAGTTTGGTTTTACGCCGCTTTTAGCAATATTCCAGCAATATCATGGCGGGGGACACCAGAAATGGGCTTCACACATTGTACCCATGTCGGGAATCGAACCCGGGTCTTCGGCGTGACGAGCGAACGCTTTAACCACTAGGCTACCCGACCGCCCAACTATAATCAAGATCTATTATATAGTATTGATGAAGATGGTGTTGTGAGGTGAAAGGGGGGTTGGCATTGTATTGTAAATGTTTCTGCTCTAGTGAGTATACTGGACGTATGATTAATATACATGCGTAATACTTTATCCCATCTGCATCCAGGTCTTATGTAAATCCTATATGCAATCATCATATTTCTCATTTATTTTTTTAAGTCAAATCAACTGTATTGTGTCTCAAAGCCAAATCAGTCAGTACAAAGTTGTTTGGGTAGTATAAGTGTTCGCTGTCTTTCAGCGTCCCATCCTTTTGTATTTAGCTGTTCATGTATAATCAGTTTTATTCCATACACATGTAGGTGATTAACGTTCTGCTGATCTTTCATAGGAAGAACCCCCAGAATATGCATTTAGGTGCTCAGGAATACATAATCATGTAACTTATTTCACGTACGTAGGTATCTCCTAGTTTTGCTAAAGAGGAAACATATTTTCCAATTCGTGAAACCATCACATAACGACTGTGATCTAACTTTCAGCCATTCCATGCAAGGAAACCCATCACTGTTCAGAATGTGACAGAGAGTCCGGGGACTGCGTCACTGAGTGTGACACTGGATATTACGATCAACAATGCAAGTCTACCTGCAGCAAGAACTGTAGAAATAACAAATGTCTGATCTCAAGCCATGGTAGTGCCAACTGCACTAAGGGTTGTGTGCCAGGATACCACGGCATTGGCTGCAACA